TACGCTTGGCAGCTTTTGCTGCCACAGGACAAAATAGCGCCGCATTCCTAAACGTTGCGGTGAACTTTCAAAGTTCTCACCCGAACGGAAGACCAAAACAATGCACGACATGTGCGCTCCGAATTATTGATCGAGAAAGCGAATGGGCTGAGAAATAAACAATTTATCGCGGGGGTGCAAGGGGCGCGCGATGGCGGCCGTGCGGCGGACACCAAAGAAGTCAGTTGCGAAGGTGGTGTGAATAAATGTTACCTTTTTATTATTGATTATTGTAAAGAAATGTGTGATTATCAATGGGAAGAGCTTAGGTGCGACATAAATTTCTCTAAGTACCTCCAATCGTGCGTTATATTTAAGTGGCAGCAAAAGCTGCCAACCGTATCTTACGTAGTCAAAAATGGAGCAGTTACGTTCTTTTTGCTATGCCATTCGTAAGTGAGCAACAATGTCTGGCTTTATGGCTCATAGTGTAATGCCCCAGTTCTTTGCCTTTCCAAAAATGGTCATTACCGGGGTTTCTGCTATTTATTCTTGTCTGCAGAGCATTGCATACCGACACACTACCAGGCGTGTAATGTATTCCGCCATTGCTGAAGCAGGGACGTTGAACGGAGTGGTGCGGACAAACTGTCATCAGAGGCGCCATCCCTCAAGGGGCGCGCCGTCGCCTAAGGGAAGGTGGTGCCGTGGCTCTATAGATGAACGGGAAGAGGGGCGCCTCCTAGGCCTGTTGGGGCGCCTTTGAGGCCTAACTATGTATGGGGTCGCCCCCGCCCCCCGCCCCGCTCCCGCCCCCCATGCAAAAGAGGGGCGCCTACGAAGGTCCTGGCCATAATGGCGCATCTGCACGAAAGAGGGGCGCCTGCATGCCGAAGAGGGGCGCCTATGAAGCCCAATGGGGCGCCTCTACGAGAAAGAGGGACACCTGTAAGGTCTATAGGGGTGCATGTAATGTCCATAGGGCACCTTTATGCGAAAAAGGGGCGCATTGCATATGAAAAAGAGGCGCATTGCACAAGAAAGAGGGGCGCCTCTGAGACCTATAGGGGCGCCTTTGATGACCAAATGGGCGCTTACACGGGAAAGAGGGTGCCTAAAAAGCTTAAAGGGACGTCCTCCATGTGAAAAAGGGGCGCCTGGGACTTGAGCGCCCTTCCGAGCTGTCCAAGGTCGCCGGAAAGTTCGTATATGTCCAGCTCCTGCTGCACTATCCTCCAAAATAATTCGATTGGATTTAGGCCAGGACTGTTCCCTAGCCAAGTGTCCTTCCCCCAGATATCGGACAGATGGTCCTGACACCGCCTAGTTCCGGAAGATCGATGAGATGGAGTACCGTCCAGCATGAAAATGCTGTCCGACCTGCGGGACACCAGGCGCCGTTGGAGCACGGGGTAGTGGTCTTTTAATGCCAAATGCACGCTTTTTCAGTATGTTTTCTAGGTAGTAGTCGGGATCGACTTCGTCTTTTGCTAGATCACGTCCAGCTGGTTCAGCTCAGGCCCTGCTAGGACATCGTGATCGTTCGACATGCCATTGCGGCGAGAATTTTTCGCAGAAGTCTGTCGGAACTTGGGCCGCGTTTTCAGCCCATGCTCGTTTTGGGGGTCCGTGTGGTGAAACCATTGAAACGGAGACTCGTCGCCGAATTAGACCCGCTTCTACATACCTACTCCGTTTCCACTCTTCTACCGGCCAGATTCTCCGTTTCGTGCAAATCTGAGGGCTCTGGGCTTGCTGATTTTCGTTATTTTGGCCGCACCAATAGTCAAGCGCCTTCAGTCAAAGGGCGTTCCTTCCTTATCAATGGACAACATTATCCGAGTGATCATTATGAATAAGACTTCAGATTCTCCGCAGAATGGTCAGACTTCCCAGGTGCTTTCTTCATGACGATCTTGGCGACGGTTGAGACGCAGGAGGACCATGCTGATTGGGGCTTATGCGTGACGCTACTTGTCCCTAAACTTCTTCCACCAGCGCTTGTTGGTGAAAACGGGGGCTTAGAAGTGTGAGGCAGCGTCCTTCCATGTGTTGCCACTTGCCAGCTTGGAGCATGCCAACAGCGCAACTACGAACCTCTCAACTGTAAAGCTAAACCTTCATGCTTAGGCGTTCAGTAAATGCGCCGTTCAATGGTTAAACAATTACCCATGCCAGTGAACCCCATTGGTAAAGGTCAGCTTTTCAGATAATCTCCGCTTCAGAGAAAGACTCAGGGACACAATTCGTTGAAAGGAACGCGATATTTAGGAGCACATTGGAAACACGCCAAGTTGCATAAACGGTCGACGGAAGTCATCAAAACCTTCGTCGCATCCTATATAAGATTTTGTGGGGAGGGGAAGCGCGTGTGAGCTGAAATAATGAGAGAAAGAACATGATCTCTCAGAACGAGCTGAACTGTTAGCTGAGGTCTGGATTTTGAGTTCATTTTTCTTGAGAATTATTGGCTACGGTCGTTATTTGCAGGCTACGGTCGAATGGAAATCCGAACAATTGCACATATTCAAGATCATATCTGGTACGTAAATAGAATAGTTCGTGAAAACTGTACATGCACCAACAGGAGACACTCTGTGGCAAAGGTTGTTGGTATCGAAAGATCATTTCCTCGCGGTTTTGATATGTTTGTGCTTTGAAATATGACAAACCACTCCATTTTTGACTATGTAAGCTACGCTTGGCAGCAAAAGCTGCCAGACCGGAAACGTACACTGCCGGTTTCGTGATCTGGCTAAAAATGCACATGTATTCCCCTAAAGGGTGCCTGACAAACATATGTTAAAATCGCAGTGAAAGTCGACAAAAAAAGTTTTCGGCTCTAATGGGTTAAAGAATGATTGCAGGACCTCTGCTGCTTCTTCATCTGTCTCCGTCTACTGGCCTCTGTTGTCCTTGAGTGGTCCGACAGCTGCTCTCACCCTCTGCTGTGTCCTGATGTAGGAATACAGCTTCTTTGGTGCTTGTTTGAGACTGCTTGTAATTCTTTTCTCATAGTCCCTTCTTGCTTTTCTTATCTTACTTGTCGTCTTATTTCTCTGCTGTACAAAACTCCTCCAATACTCTGTGCTCTTCGTCTCCACATATTCCTTCCAAGCTTTATGTTTCTTCTTGACTTCTCTCTCTAGGCCCTTGTGCCACCATGGCGCTTTGCACTTCTTAGTTCTTCCTGTCTTCATCTTTGGAACATGTTCCTCAATCATCCTCTTGAGTTTCCTCTTGATGCAATTCCAGGTTCCTTCTGTATCCATGTCCAGCAAGATGTCGTCCCAGTTAACTTGTCTGAGTGCTGCAGACATGTTGGTATAGTTCCCTTTCCTGTAGTTGAACTTTGTCTGTTCACTTCTTCTCTCCCCATCACTATCATTACCATACCTGAATAACCATGATAACACTACATGATCACTCTTTCCCACTGGACTGCTTGCCTCCAAGTTGTCTATCATAAGTTCTTCAGTACTAAACACCAAGTCCAGCTGTGATGGGGTACAACCCTCTCTAAATCTTGTCGGGAAACTTACATGCTGGAACAGCAATAGATCCTGGACCGATTCATAAAACATAGCAGCATCAGAGTCATCCGGCCCCCTTACTAGTCCTGCTTCCCAATCTATTTGCCCATAGTTAAAATCCCCCATCAGTAGTATACTTGAAGCTTGAAACCTTCTAGCACGCCCAACAAGGTCAATCAGTCTCTCATTGTTGTCAAATGTACTTGCCGGACTTCTGTAACATAAGCCGACAAGGATCCTGACTGCCCTTGTTGGCTTCACTATACGCCAAACTGATTCTTTGTATGGCATTTCGTTAACCCGCGCCCAGATGGGGTCTGCCGAGCAACGCGGTCTGATGGGGGGGGGGCCATTTTGGCCCCCCCCCTCAGATCTCGAGAACCACGCAACATAGCGACAAGCGGTAAACGGTGTTGGATAGCCCCAACAGGGAACTACCTTGTGACCCAATTTCATTGACCTCGGTCAAACCGATGACGTCACAGGTCAGGTCAAAGGTCGAATTTTCACCGTTTACAGGCATTTCAAGAAATGCGTTGTAAAATCGTGTAAAATGCATTTCATTGAAAATCATCGATGGGGAAATGTTCTTCAAACACATATTTTGCTATTTGAGGTCACTGATACCAGGTCAGGTCACAGAGGTCAGGTCACTGGGGGGTCACAATATGAAAGTGTCGAGTGATACATGTTTTATGGTCCATTTTACATGACAAATGCGATTATGTGAGTCAGACAGACTTTAGGGCCAGCTTAGGTCATGTTTTGGTCAAGGTCAGGTCAAGGTCAGGTCAAGGTCAGGTCAAATTAGGTCAAATTTCAAAGTTGATATTTTTGCATAAAATGGGTATCGATTCGATGCAGCTCGTCACGAGGAGTTCAATGGTGGTCTCCGTTTTGCGCTACGAGGTCTAGAATTGCTAAAAATTGAGTTCAAAAATTTGACGTCATCAATTTTTAACAGTTTTTTCGCTATAACTTGGCCAAAAAAAGAGATATCAATCTAAAATTTGGTATGTATATCGAAGAGCGCAGGGACTATCACATATATTCCGGTTTTTTCGAAATTCGAAAATTTTTTGGAAATTTTTTGAGTTTTTCTAAAAAAAATCAATTTTTTTGATTTTTGGGGGTCCAAATCCAAAAATTTCAAAAATCCGAGATAGCAGTTTTGTAGCGCCGTTTTTTCTCTACACAACCACATAAAGAACTTTAAAATTGCTTGTGAACTGTAGAATTGGTGAGCGTTTCAAGATGTCATGTTTTTTGCTCATTTTTACTCGAACATGACCTCAGTTTGACCTCAATAACTCCTGACCTGAGGTGACCTGTGACTTGAAATTTTGTGTGAAGGTGTCAAATTGATGTCCGGTAAGGTACCCAAAATTTGGCGGCGCTGCGCGCCGCCGTTTTCTCGCTATTTAAGAAAAACCACAGGGGGGGGGGCCAAAATGGCCCCCCCATCAGGGCGCGGGTTAAGTTCCATACACTCAGAGACCGTTAGGCTGTCCCGAACCAACAACATGACGCCTCCTCCGAGTTGATCATCAGGTCGGTCCTTTCTAAAAGCTGCATGATAACCCTCCATCACAAACACCTCTTTTTGCCAAACTTCAGTCAGTCCAATCACATCAGGATTTTCTTGCTGTACTCGACATTTAAGTTCATCATGCTTGTTTGACAGGCTATTGATATTTGTATACATACATTTCAGGGACTTACTTGTACTTTGTGTTTTCTTGTCCCTTTCTGCAGGCTTACTGTCTCGGGACAACTTTGCCCCGAAAGACTCTGTGTGTCTCTCGTCCTTTTGCTATCAGCTCCTCCCTTAACCCGCGCCCGGCTGGGGGTCCTGGATTTCCACGCCCTGCTGGGGGGGGGGTGTTTGAACACCCCCCCTTCTAACTCGGCTCCTGGGCCACGTAGCGATACGCGGAAGGCGGCGTTCGAAAGAGCGTCAAAAATAATGAGGAAATTACCTCGGTCAATTTTTTGGTCAGGTCAAAGGTCAGGTCACCAGAGGTCATTGAAGGCAAATTTTCGCCGATTTCCAGGTCGAATGTCGAAAATTTCCAAGAAGCCAACGCATAACTCGGGAACCAATAGAGCTACAGCGCCGCGGAAAAGCGCATTCGATAGCCCTATTAACGCCCTTTCTGAGTAATTTTCTCAGATTTGACCTAACGTCAACGGTTTTGCCTGCAGGGGGCAAAAACTACAAAAATAGCCGATTTTTTCGGAAACAGTTTTTCTGCAATAACTTTTGACCCAAACATTGTACGAGCTTACTTTTACCGGCATCGTGTTCCTCTCGTCAAGACGCATCGAACGAACTATAATTTGACCTTGAAAGGTCAACTTGAAAATTTGACCTCAGGTCAAGGTCATGACCTGACCGGAAAGGGTCATGTTGCATATCAGTCGATCCGTATCGTCGAGCTGAACACATCTAAGGCGTTTTCATCGCTCTAGCATGCCTCTATCAAAAGTTATTTGCGAAAAACTGTTAGATACCATTCGTGACCTAAGATGACCTCAGGGCATAAACAGGGGTCACAGACACCATTTTCATGTTCAGTGTGTCTAAACCACTTGTAATTCAGTGTTTGGGAGTGTTTATAATGTCTTTCGTCCAAAACAGGCGCATTTCAATTTTCTCCCATTGACTTATAATGGTGAGGTCGCAAAATTGACCTGACCTTAGGTCATCGATATCAAAATTCTGAGATAAACATTTTGTACATGCTAATGCTCTTAGCAATCGCTGAAAGTTTCAAAGCGATCGGTCACTCGGTGTAGCTATGACAGACATTGAAACTTTTTATGAGGTGAGGTCACTTCGAGTGACCTGGTGACCTGACCTTGAATGACCTTGGTCTGAAATTTTCACAACATGTGTAGAATTGATGTATGATAAGGTGTACCAAAAACGGCGGCGCTCCGCGCCGCCGTTTTTGAGATATTCGCGAAAAACCACAGGGGGGGGGGGGTGTTCAAACACCCCCCCCCCCCAGCAGGGCGCGGGTTAACTTCTTCTGAACTTCCCTCTCCTCAGGTGTGAGGTCTCTTGTCAGGTATACATTGTCAAACGTTGTTTTACGTAAGTCCCATCTCTTGCTCATGAGTGCTTCCACATGCTCCTTCTTCTTCAACCTCACCAGCATCAGCCTTGGTTTGGGCTCTTCTTCTCCATTTTCACTCTCCCTTTTCTTTCCCAGTCTATAGATCTTGTCTACCTCCATATTACCTTCTCCGAGCAGAGCCTCCTTTATGTTACTGAAACTTTTCAGGTCATAGCCTTTCCTCGCTTCTGGGTCACTTGACTTACTTTCTGGTACATTGTGAATTATCAAATTCACTTCTCTCTTCTCTTTGTCCTCCTTCCTTTCCACCAGTGTTTTCAACTCTTGTGCGCTTTTCTTGAGCTCCGACTGGAGCTTTGGCATTGTCTGTACGACTTCCTTTTGTGCCTCAAGTGACTTGTCGACTTGGGCTTGCTGCTTGTTCATTACCTCCACCACTACTTTCTCCAGAGCATTGATTTTTTCTTCCAACTGATTGTTCTGATCCGGTTTGGGACCCGACACTTTGAACACTCCGATGATCTTTCTTTCTACTGCCTCTAGTTTATCTTCAAGCCTCTTTCCCATCCGCAGCACATCCATCAAGTTTGGCTTACATGTCATGCAGAGCCAAAGGAGCTCACTGTCTGATATAGCCTGAAATGCCTTATCATCTAGTCCCTGACAGTTTGGATGGAACCACTGTTCACAAAGATCACACTGGATTGAATCTTCCCCATCAGCTACAGCAAGGCCACATACCTTTTTACCTCCTTTACAGGTGTACTTGGTCTTTCTCGTCTTCCTACCTTTCTTCCGCCATGCTCCACCTTCACCTTCGTCGGCCTCTTCTCCATCAACGTACACACATTGACTATCTGCATTTTGCGACGACGCGTTGGAGCCCAGCCGGGCTCTGGTGGACATGTTTGTGAAAGTGCAAAGTCTTGCTAACAGCTAAATATTTTGAATATTTTTTTATATGTTTTCTACTTAATTTTCAAGTCTCCTGTGATTTTGCAGCAACTTGTGCTAAACCAAAACAATTTTCTTCTGAAACATTTAGTTTTCAATCGGCGAGTCTTCAAAACAAACCGGGACCGGGACAAACCGGGACCACAAGGTCAAGGGCTCAGGTGGCGAATTCGGCGCACGACCGGACAGGGCGAGGAGTGGGAGGGAACATGTCAGTCATCGGCAGCATGTTGATGGTGGTGCCGTCCTATATGATCGCTGTACTCCATCTCTGTGGACTGGGTGGGACCGTCAGAACATGTCAGTCATCGGCAGCATGTTGATGGTGGTGCCGTCCTATATGATCGCTGGACTCCATCTCTGTGGACTGGGTGGGACCGACAGAACATGTCAGTCATCGGCAGCATGTTGATGGTGGTGCCGTCCTATATGATCGCTGTACTCCATCTCTGTGGACTGGGTGGGACCGACAGAACATGTCAGTCATCGGCAGCATGTTGATGGTGGTGCCGTCCTATATGATCGCTGTACTCCATCTCTGTGGACTGGGTGGGACCGACAGAACATGTCAGTCATCGGCAGCATGTTGATGGTGGTGCCGTCCTATATGATCGCTGTACTCCATCTCTGTGGACTGGGTGGGACCGACAGAACATGTCAGTCATCGGCAGCATGTTGATGGTGGTGCCGTCCTATATGATCGCTGTACTCCATCTCTGTGGACTGGGTGGGACCGACAGAACATGTCAGTCATCGGCAGCATGTTGATGGTGGTGCCGTCCTATATGATCGCTGTACTCCATCTCTGTGGACTGGGTGGGACCGACAGAACATGTCAGTCATCGGCAGCATGTTGATGGTGGTGCCGTCCTATATGATCGCTGGACTCCATCTCTGTGGACTGGGTGGGACCGACAGAACATGTCAGTCATCGGCAGCATGTTGATGGTGGTGCCGTCCTATATGATCGCTGGACTCCATCTCTGTGGACTGGGTGGGTCCGACAGAACATGTCAGTCATCGGCAGCATGTTGATGGTGGTGCCGTCCTATATGATCGCTGTACTCCATCTCTGTGGACTGGGTGGGACCGTCAGAACATGTCAGTCATCGGCAGCATGTTGATGGTGGTGCCGTCCTATATGATCGCTAGACTCCATCTCTGTGGACTGGGTGGGACCGACAGAACATGTCAGTCATCGGCAGCATGTTGATGGTGGTGCCGTCCTATATGATCGCTGTACTCCATCTCTGTGGACTGGGTGGGACTGACAGAACATGTCAGTCATCGGCAGCATGTTGATGGTGGTGCCGTCCTATATGATCGCTGGACTCCATCTCTGTGGACTGGGTGTGACCGACAGAACATGTCAGTCATCGGCAGCATGTTGATGGTGGTGCCGTCCTATATGATCGCTGTACTCCATCTCTGTGGACTGGGTGGGACCGACAGAACATGTCAGTCATCGGCAGCATGTTGATGGTGGTGCCGTCCTATATGATCGCTGTTCGAGAGAAAACGTACCGTGCCGCACAGCGACGGCAGCGCGCGGCGGGCACGGCCGAGCCCCGCCGTCCACGTGGTCCTCTGCAGGGCCTGGGGGGTCATCTGGAGCACATGTGTGCTGACCGGCCCCAACGCGCCGGGCCGGCCGCCGCCGGCCGGCTCGGCAGTTCGCGGCGAAACGACGACGACGGCGCGGCTCCGCCGGCGCAACGACGCCGGTGTCGTACGATTCGATTGACGTGCAGTGTGTGACGAGTAATCCAGAAATAGATAGACATTCATCTAAGAACTCTTTTGGTCCTCCGGTTAATGAAACGATACGATCAGCTACGCAATTCTTAGTGAACTGGACGATTACATGAACACTTTGGTCTGCCGTGCTGGGTCAGAGTAAACGACCACGATTCTCACGAACATTCTGGTCCTCCGGGCCGGATATCAGTGAACTAGTGTGCGAATGGATTTACAGTGACGACGCGGTAGTGTGAACTGTGAGTGCAATGTCTGACAAACGGTCACGACATGCCAGTGATGCGAAATCACATCAAAGCCGCCGAAGCTCGTATCACACGAGGAGCGAGGCGAGCTTCAGCACGGCGTCCTCCGGTCTCAGTGAAGCCCGCCGACGAGCTGCACTTAGCCAGCTCCAGGCGGAACAGGCCCAGCGCACCGCCGCGGCCAAGGCTGAGCTGGCCCGGCGTCAGGTGGAGCAGGCCCGGCTACAGGCGGAGCAGGCGGAGGCGCAGGCAGCGCTGCAAGCTCAGGCGGCGAAGGATGAAGCAGAATGCCGCCAGCTGGAGTTGGAGCTGCTGGAGCAGGAGGAGCGGGGTTCGCAGCTCGCTCGTTCTTACGCTGCACCATCCGGCGCCGGCCTCCCGGTGGTTGCAACAGAGCCGCCGGCGCAGGTATGCGTGTCTCGACAGACGGACGAGTCGGTCACGCGCACCCGACAGTGGCTGACTCAGTCTCAGCTACACGTGCCACCAGTGGATACGGCTCCCGTCAGCGCTGTGCCTCCACCTGCAATGCGTCTGCAGCGCCCGTCCAGTGACGACACGCGAGCGGTCCCGCATCTGCCGCGCATCACACTGGAGAAGTTCGGAGGCTCTGCCATCGAGTGGCCGCGGTGGATAGCCCTCTTCAAAGCGCTGGTACACGACCGCGCCGACCTCACCGACGTAGAACGGCTGACCTATCTGCAGAGTCACCTGACGGGGCCGGCGAGAGAGTCTGTGCGGGGCATGCTCTGCGACGCCAGTCTCTACAGCACCGCCCTGGGTGAGCTGGAACGAGAGTTTGGTGACCCGTCCCGTGTGATACACGCCACGATGAAAAGACTCCTCACAGCGCGGCCGGTGAAAGATGGCGATCTGTCAGCGCTGACAGAGCTGTCTCGTGAGCTCCACACCGCGGTGAGCGTCCTACAGTGTTTGCACTACGAGCACGACCTCGCTGCCGCCACGAACGTCACCACTGTGACTGGGAAGCTACCAGCCTCCCTCGCCTGGAGGTGGGGCGAGCACATGGTGGAAAACGGCATCACTCGTCCGACGCTCGTCGATCTCGACGAATGGCTTCGCCGTCATGTGTCAGCTGGTCGGTTGGCCTTGAACGTGACCACCAAGCAGCCGCCGAAGGTCGAGGCTAACGACGCTGAGTGCCGCCCGCGACGCGTGTTTACCACCATGTCGGCGCGGCCCGCGCCGGCGGCTGTAAAGCGGGGGAGGACGGCGGCCATAAAACCATCAGCGGACGGGAACAGCGCCGGCTGTGCCATGTGTCAGCAAACACACCAGCTCCAGCGCTGTGACAAATTTCTCGCGTTGACTGTGAGTGAAAGGGCAGAGTTTGTCGGCACTCGGCAGAAACAGACTGTGTTTCAACTGCCTGGGCCGCGATCACATCAGCGCTACGTGTCCCAGTGATGCACGATGTGACGCGGAGCACTGCAGCAGGCGTCATCACGCGCTGTTGCACAACGGCAGACGAGTGTTTCCGCGGAGTGATAACGCTGGTGGCACGCCGTCATCCACCAAACACGTCGGCACAGCGTCGGTCGAACCTCGCGGTCATATTCTGCTGCAGGTGGTACCCATCACCGTGAATGGTCCGGCAGGTAGCCGCACCACAAACGCGCTATTGGACCTAGGAAGCCAGGTCACACTGGTCACCGACGGCCTGTGTGACCGGCTCGGCATCTCGGGACCCGCGGGCAAATTGTCGCTGAGCACTCTGAACGGGAACCAAACGATGCAGTCACGGCGCGTATCCTTTGCTGTTGAGGCTGTGGACGGCGACGGCAAGGCGCACTGCATACAAAACGCCCAAACGACGCCGACGTTAACCTGCGCCCGGCTGGGGGTCCTGGATTTCCACGCCCTGCTGGGGGGGGGTGTTTGAACACCCCCCCTTGTAACTCGGCTCCTGGCCCACGTAGCGATACGCGGAAGGCGGCGTTCGAAAGAGCGTCAAAAATAATGACGAAATCACTTCGGTCAATTTTTTGGTCAGGTCAAAGGTCAGGTCACCAGAGGTCATGGAAGGCAAAATTTCGCCGATTTCCAGGTCGAATGTCGAAAATTTCCAAGAAGCCAACGCATAACTCGGGAACCAATAGAGCTACAGCGCCGCGGAAAAGCGCATTCGATAGCCCTATTAACGCCCTTTCTGAGTAATTCTCTCAGATTTGACCTAAATTCAACGGTTTTGCCTGCAGGGGGCAAAAACTGCAAAAATAGCCGATTTTTTTCGGAAACAGTTTTTCTGCAATAACTTTTGACCCAAGCCCTGTACGAGCTTACTTTTACCGTCATCGTGTTCCTCTCGTCAAGACGCATCGAATGAACTATAACTTGACCTTGAAAGGTCAACTTGAAAATTTGACCTCAGGTCAAGGTCATGACCTGACCGGAAAGGGTCATGTTGCATATCAGTCGATCCGTATCGTCGAGCTGAACACATCTAAGGCGTTTTCATCGCTCTAGCATGCCTCTATCAAAAGTTATTTGCGAAAAAACTGTTAGATACCATTCGTGACCTAAGATGACCTCAGGGCATAAACAAGGGTCACGGACGCCATTTTCATGTTCAGTGTGTCTAAAACACTTGTAATTCGGTGTTTAGGAGTGTTTATAATGTCTTTCGTCCAAAAGAGGCGCATTTCAATTTTCTCCCATTGACTTATAATGGGGAGGTCGCAAAATTGACCTGACCTTAGGTCATCGATATCAAAATTCTGAGATATACATTTTGTACATGCTATTGCTCTTAGCAATCGCTGAAAGTTTCAAAGCGATCGGTCACTCGGTGTAGCTATGACAGACATTGAAACTTTTTATGAGGTGAGGTCACTTCAAGTGACCTGGTGACCTGACCTTGAATGACCTTGGTCTGAAATTTTCACAACATGTGTAGAATTGATGTATGATAAGGTGTACCAAAAACGGCGGCGCTCCGCGCCGCCGTTTTTGAGATATTCGCGAAAAACCACAAGGGGGGGTGTTCAAACACCCCCCCCCAGCTGGGCGCGGGTTAAACGTGTCAGCCAAGTTCATGGACTGCACGGTGGCAAAGGAGGAATGGCCGCACCTGGCCGACCTGGATCTCCCCAGCGC